ATTATCGCTTACTTACAATTTTTAAGTAGGGTGATTTACATAATCTCGCCACCTTTGTTCTTCTTTAAACTTTTTCCTAGTTGGTGTTGGCGATACCACTGGAAAATGTCTCTCAGTGACCTTGCCCGAGGCTTGGGCACACCCCCCTCCATATACGCGTTCGCCGTTGGTCGGGCGGTGGGTAAGCGATGATATTAAAGCTCATTTCAGTGTCTTCTTCCAAGGTTTGAATACGCGACCCAACTTGCCCTCGTAACTTTTTTATTTACCAAAAATATTGGGATATAATTTGTTCCCTGACATGCCCCGGCCGTCCTCTCCCCGAAAATCAGGTATACATTAGCCTGCGGGGCGCGCTTCACACTTTCCCCAGACGACCCCACGACATAATCCTACCCATTAGGTTAGTTGAACAACTACTCCTATGATTTTCTGCTTTAAATTATTTGTTCTTTCTCCTGATTTGACCCAACCCCATTACTACCGATCCCCTAAGACAGAATCCTAGCGCAAGGAATAGCTAGGGACAGATGAAGGTTCGGCCGACACAGCCGCGACTTGGACTTGCGCAACATCAACCGCACTCTCTCCCCCAACAAATCCCGTGTGCTAATGGCAAGAAAAAATTCAGACGACGCGACGGGGAACATGAGAGTATCGGCCGAGAGCACTACTTAGTTCGTCCACACGTCTACGTCGATCTGAATTCTTCTTGGACCGCATGAGGTGCCAGGCCCATGACTGCGCGCTTTCGGTAAGCTGTAAACTATTGATGCGGGGTTAAACTACAATTTCTACACCTGTGTATAGGTAGCTGCAGACGTCCACTAAAAGTCCGTCGTCGTTATCTGAGGTGACTTTCTGGTAGGCCTTTCGACTGGTTACAAGTATGTGTTTTATCTTAGACAAACACTGACCACACACATTTAGTCATCACATGGGCTTACTTGGCCACATGTGACTCCATGAAAACCTGTGTCAGAACACAGCCGGCCACATGACCACGCACAAACTCAGACAACGCAAGCACGCAGTCGGCCCCTTTTTTAGATGGCTCCTCTGCTGTATGTGTGGTCTGAGCCTGAGACTATCATGGTGCGCTAAACACCGTGGCTTGGAAGGTTGCCAACTGCGGATAGCAATTAAATCTCATCATCAGCTCAATGTCTATTTGTGTGGAGTTGCCGATTGCTGGACCGAGGATCGGGCTTAAATGATTCATTCTTAATGTGATATCTATGGGAATTCCGTTCAGCAAAAAATCATCGCCCTGATCGATGCCTACTACCGTTTCACCACTGCACGGGTTCTGGTTCATAACCACGTTTCAGAACCGCTAGCTATTCTGTCGACAAGGCTGTACCCTGTCACCCATTCTATTCAAGTACGTCATTGACTGAATTTTCAGGAAGTTTCTATGTGAAGAGGACGGTGTTGAGCTTGCATATGGACACCGGTTGATCGATATCGACTTGCTAGCTTAAAGCTTTGACGATCTGCAGTCTATCCTGTTATGGGTGAACGAGGTCACCAAATCGGTCGGTTTGTCCATAAACACTGGGAAGACCAAAGCGTTTTCAGGCTGCGCCCCTGTCCAAGAGAAGGCACCTCTGGAGATTAATGACTGTCAAACTGAAGAAATATACAAGTTCAAATACCTCGGCGCAAGATTGCTGCCGAATGGACAGAGTAAGGTTGACATTGTCTTCCGAATCGATGTAACTAGTCGAGTTTTCTCAAACCTTAGAAAATGCCTATGGATCCGACGCGATATTTCTATTGCCACAAAGGTTCGCGTGTACCGTGCCTCCGTTCGGTCTGTTCTTTCTCTACGGCTGTGAATGTTGGGCTATGTGCGTGGAAGACGAAAGAAAAGCGGAGTTATTTGACCGCTGTTGCTTAGGACCATACTTCGACTGAAGTCACAAATACGAAAGTCTACGCTCGCTGCGACGATATCGCAAGGATATCCCCGGGCCATCCAAGAAAGACAACTGAGGTGGTTTGGGCACGTTCTTTGATGTCAACCTCACGAGCTCAGTGTTACTGTGCTCCATCCAACACCGTCACCCAATTGGAGATGATGAACAGCGGGTCAGCAGAAAACCTGGCTCGACTCAGTCCGCGAGGATATGGAAGAGGTTCTTGAACCTTCGATATTCGGCCTCCGACGTTGGCGAAGGGAATGGATTTAACTGTCCATGTCTGTTGCCACGGATCGTCACGCTTGGAGAAGTCCCGCCCGGAAAATGATCGAATCCGGCTAGAGCAGTCACGGTTGCAATCGTGACAAATACAAGTACAAAGGAAGACGTCTATGGCATCCGAACACACGTGAGATCTGAGCCGCCAACTGCCTATAAAGTGAAAGCTTGGTGTGTCCTGTTTGAGAGGCCAGGTCATGTATGTGACACGTGCAGACGAGATTACGAGCTATGAATTGACCATGAGCTCGGGCACAGGTTGGGGTGGGGGGTTAGGGGAGTGTGGTAGATGCAGCGCAAGTCTACTACCAGCATACAGAAAATTACGCGCAGCCACCGTTCCTGCGTCACCATATTGTGGGACACAAGAGGGACCTCGTCGAAGTCGACGGTCAAACTTCAATCAGTGTCTACTATTTGCTGTTTGTGTGCTCACACGAAATGGTATCTCATCGACGTCTGGTGTGGAATATTATCCTTGCAGTGGGCAGTAAATGACGTTACCATCTAAAGATATCTGAAGTGCTCAGAAAAGGTTTACGACTACAAGCAGAACTAAGACTATAAAATTTAGCTAGGGGGTGTGTGAGACACCCATAGCTTTACTTTCCCAGCTTCTGAAATGTTGTAGCCCTTACCGAAGACCTCTTCTACTTTAGAAAAAAACTACTGAAGCAGCAATAACAACTTCCTCGAGCGGACGCATACCTTTTTCCTCCACCTGCGGCCATACCAGTTCAATGCACCAGCGGCGACTGCAGCTCGTCAACTGTGTAATGCTGAAGGTGGTCTAAAATTACATTGGAAAGGAGTCAACCAGAGGGGAATAAAAACGCATTAAGGTACTAGACATAGATCACTAGTGTGTGTATCCCCCATATCCCACCGCAGGTCATGGGAATGGAGCAGATTTGCACTAAATTCGAGAGAAATAACAGGTAGAGTTAAGGTGAAGGTAGGGTTTAGGGGTCGGGTTAGGTTTGAGTTAATGTTATGACACGGAAATAGGTGCCCATCTTGGCATCTAGCGGAAGGCTATTTGTATAACAGAGAGGGGTACACCAATGATTCCTACTAAGTACTAACTAATTGAGCAACAGTGACCTACAGTATGAAGGTTAAAAATGTCGCTTTTAAATAAGCAACGCCGTGGATAAGAAGCATCCTTAGTAATAAATATATGCAAACTTTACGGTTGAAGCCGCATCGCTTGAAATCCTAGTGAAGATTCAATATGGCAGGAGCCCTACCTAACCGACTGCCAGCAGAACCCTGCAAGTTGTCCTGATGAATCGTTCCTTCGGCCGGCAGCCAACAATAGTTCATTGTTCAATGGGAGCGGCCTCAAGGTCACGCGTCTTCGCTAGTAAACTGTCCCCACTTTGACTGCGACGTGCGCCATGTGTGGTACATTCAATGATGTCCCAAACTGCGACGTGCGCCATATATGGTACACATCTAGGCCTAAAGTAATGAAGGTTTGAAAACGCCGCCCCAAGGGCATACAGGTTATTTTGAGAGTCGCAGTCAAAGTGTTAATCCGCCGGACCGGATATTCACTTTCTCACACA